CTCCTACATGACACTATAAAATACTATATTGATTGTTGCTGGAGGATGTGCTAATAATTTAAAAATTAACATGATATGCCACTCATCCAGGTTTACAAGTACCATTGTGTTTCAAGGCCTGGTCCTGCGGCTAGGGATCACAGGTGATAACCTCTTCATGGATTTCTTTATCTCCGCTGTGGTGGAGCTTCCCACGGGTCTCATCTTCTACCTGCTGGTCGACAGAGTTGGTCGACGCTCCCTTATGGGCATCACCAACTTCACTGCTGGCATCGCCTGCCTCATAGTCCCCTTTGTCTCCATGGGTAGGTGCAGCTGACTATACATGTGGCACCAGCTGAAAGTTCTTTGGTTGGTAAAGTGATGATGCTTCTCCTTGGATCCCATTTCGATCCTGCATTTTATTTGTTCTGTCTTCGCTACAGAGATGGCCTGGTTGAAAAAGTCCATTGCTATCATCGGGAGGCTTGCTGTTGTTATTGGATTTGAGACCCTAAACTTTGCAAACACAGAGATGTATCCAACACCTCTGAGGTATGAAACCAATGAGTGTTTGTAGATATGTATTTGTTTATGTGGTGTGAAAAACAGAATTGGCAGCATTACTTTGCGCAATTCTACCATGAATGTGAAGCAAGAAGAGAAGACCAATATGAAGTCTCAATTGTCTGAGAAGATGCAGACAAAGTTTAGTTTTATTTTTAGTACAGCACAGTCTCAGACAAACAACAGCCAATCCCGTAGAAATTCTGCTTCATTCTAAAATAAGTCAGGGGGACTGTTTTGGAGTTACAATCAGGCTTATTATGTTTATTGTCTGCCTAACTAATACCTAAACTAAACTAAAAAACAAAAGGAATAGGAATAGGAATGTCTTGCTTATGGCTTAATTTGCTTTTCAATTTCCTCACAGAAATTTGGGTGTGTCAGTGTGTTCATCAGCCAGTGACTTTGGAGCAATCGTAGCCCCATTTCTGCTCTACAGACTGGCCAGTATCTGGCAGGAGCTGCCACTTTTTCTTTATGGTAAAAGTCTCACTGCCACAATGTAATTCAAATACTCTTAGCTCTCTATAATGATACATAGAGACAATTTAAAGTCACCAATTTAAGATATATTTTGTCTTGTATTAAAATGTACCTTACATTTGCTTCAGGTGTGATGTCGGTGCTGTACAGCGGATTGGTGATTATGTTGCCTGAGATGAGCGGAGTTGCTCTGCCAGAGACCATAGAGGACGTGGAGAACCTAAGAGGGTAAATGGATTTTATTAAAATTATGTTATTAGATCAATCAATACATGTTAATCATTTTTAGCTGTTATTCGTATCCAGAGACTATATAATAATATAGTATAGTATATAATATAATGACTGCAACAGTAACAACAACAAGGTAACAAACCAAAATTCACAGGTTGCAAATATTAAAAGTAGGGATGGGATGATACAATATTATCGTATACCGCGATAAAAAACATAAAGTAATTTACAATATCGTAATAATTATGAATCGGGATATCCTCACATGGCTTGACTTAAAAATGGAGTCTAGCTTTCCAGCATATAGTCCTATACTGATTGATTACATTGATTGATTTTGAACAAGGGGACGAGGGAGAGCCTGCATCTTTCAAGTCCTTCCAAAATCCTAAGCCACAATGGTTGAATGATTATGCAATAAATATGTGTTTATTAACAAAATATAAGGTGATCCCAGTATGTTTTTGTGCCATTTAAAAGTACGAAGTATATTTTTATGATGGTGACATGAAATGTTCATATCGTCCCATGCCTAATTGCAAGGAACCAATACTAAACAGTATCAAACCAACAACAAGCTGACAACAAATAGAACTCCCTCTTTGCCATACATATTCTAGTATAAGATAAAAAGGTAAATAAATAAAGTACAAAAGTGTTTGCAGCACAACAGGAGGAAATTGTCAAGAGTCGGGAAGATGGCAAGAAAGGTGTGAGGAAAAAAAGGTGGCAATTGGTCTCAGAGACAAGAATATGCTCATAAATCTAGACAGCAGTTAGGTAGGTTTGGCAAAAAGGTTTGAGCTTGAATCCTTAATGTGTCTTTCTTGTGTATGTGTTTTCTGACAGGGAGAAAGAGACAAAGGATGCAGAGAGAAACAGTGTGATTATACGACTGAAGCCTTGAGGAGCTGGAACTTTACAGGATTTTTTTTCTCCATGTGTTGTGTTTACAATGCACACGATGTCCTTGTGTAGTCTCATCATTAGATTTACAGCCAAGTACTGTGAAATGTACTACGGTGGTTGTTATTGCAGTCTTGTATCACATTAGATATTCTAAGGCTTTAAAGGTGATAACTAGAGAATGCACTGTGAGGGGAAGAAACACAGGAGGTGTTAGGAAATTAAGATATCTTTGCAACCTTACACCTCAACAATGCTAAATTCAGCAGCAGATACTTATTTATATCTAGATTGAGGACCTTACATCATTTTAAGCTGAGGGCCAATAAAGTCATATGATAATCTCAGCTACTGAGCAGCAGTAAAATTATTGATTATGGTACCTTGTCTTTGTATTATATTTGTCTGTTACTGAATAAAAAGGTACCATATGTATGATTTTAAAGCATTATTTCTATGTATTAATCACTTTTTATTACCAATTTGTGAGCAGGAGTCCAAAGTCACAGATAACATTACAGCAAAGCTTGTGAAATACATCGCGATATTGTGATTTTAGCTGGCTAACATTGGCTTGCTTGCTAACACAGATGAAATGCTGTCTTGAGTACATAAAGTCAACTAACTCATTCAGACTTCATCCAGACTCCTATGAGCTGCTCACAACAAGGTCTGTGGATTATCTTCACATAATGGGTCTTTTTGGACTGCAGCTGCTGACAAGGAGAAGCATTATAATCCGTAGACTTTTTATTATTAAATTCCTTTACAATGTCCAAAATTTCATTTTCATTTACTCCATTTAGAAACATAGAATTCATATTTTTATCACATCTATTAATGCCTTCGATGTCACTCGGCTCTATGATCTCATTAGCTAATTTAGGTCCCACATTTACAAAATATTCATTGAATTCATCAGCTATGTCTTTTTTATTATCTGTAGTTACTTCATGTTTTTTAGTAAAGTAACTAGGATAGTCTTTGTTCGTACCACCTTTTCTAATTAAACTATTAACTAGAAAATTCATAAAGAAATTTTGATTGTGCCTTGCTCTGGCCCGTGACACTGGCCCATACATTACTGACACTGCCGAGTAGTTTACAGTATGTGACCTTTACCATTGCTTAGGTATGTGACAGATCAAGCTTTCAAAGTGTGTGTGTGTTCATATGAGAGAACAAATAGAAATAGCAGCAGTTGATGCGACAAAGTCGGCCAAAAAGTTAGTATTTATGTATTATATTGAAGCCGAATTGACAAGAAGACTCTTGAGATATGATGAGTTTTTTCTTGTGTTTCTACAGTTATGTGCAATTATGTAAGCGCAAATAATTGTAAATATATGGTATTTCTTAAACGGAGTTTGGCATAATATTGTCCTTGGATTATGCAAGAAGCGTCATGGTTTAATTGAAATAGGTAAAATAACTAAATAAGTAATAACCACAATGGTGGGAATAATAAGTATGTAGTTAATAATAATAATAATAATAAGTAATGCTATCAATAACATGAATAACAATATTTATATTAATAAATAATACATAAATATGAAAGAAAACTATTCTTAATGTGCAGTCATAGGCAGTGTAGGTTTTTTAAACTTTTAGAAAAGTGTCCACCAGACCCCTCTACCTGTTAACATACAATGAACGTTGTGACGTTGTAGACTTTTATTTTGAAACACCACCCTCAGCCCGAAAGCAATAGTGCAGTTACAACAGTCTGAGTGTCTTCTTCCTCATAAAATAAATCTAACTTGATGTTTTATTACTCAGTAGCCTTCTGTCAATGGCATTTGTAAATATGTTATCTATTAATGTTGAACTCTCTTTAGTTATTCTACTGGATTTGGTAATCATGGGATATAAGCTCATACTAAACATTGCATCAATATGCATCTATGTTAAAATCACCACACACAAATACCACCCTTTTATCATTTAATTTATCAAACATCTCAGCTATCTTGTCTTTAAATTGTTCAATGTCTGATCCAGGTTTTCTATATACACAACTTACAATAATATTTTTACCTATTTCCACCTCTATTTCAACAGTTAGACATTCCATTACATCCTTTATGGTTGTTCTGGAGACGCAATATGATTATCGGCGTAGCTTTTGCACTTCTCTTGGAAAGAGTGTGACAGGCTACTATGTTTTGGCTTTGGATATGCACGTTTTTGCTCTCGAGGAATGTGGAGAATCTTCTCCGTTTTTATCTCCGACCACAGTTCTTGCAAAGGTTTGATGTTTAGTTTGTAATCCGCTAATAATCACATCATCCAAACGTGAGTATTGCTCCAATGTATCCACTCTCCGTTCCAGATCAAAGATCTTCTTGTCTTTCTCACGTAGTTGGAAGTTGTAGTCCGAACAGACGATTATGACGAATTAATTAGTCACTTTTGAGTCAGGTATCTTAATATCAACGGGTAATGACCTGGCCGCTGCACCTTTGTTGATCTATATTGAGCCAGAACTATATCTCACAGAAGCAGTTTGGATCATCTGGTGCTAATATGGTGTTAAAATGCACTAGAATACAGGAAATTGAATCTATTTAATTGAAAATGTTCTGGTGGAAGACCCCCAGAGCACCTGGGGATATATTTCCTTCATACATCCATGTCGCTGTGTGTTCTTCACAGTCCAACGTTGAAATCCACACAGTTCTCGTGGATGCTGATCCTAACAGCAAACTAACCTGAGTAGTCTGTCTAGTTAGTCTGTTTTAAGGCTATATAATGTGCCATTTGTATAACATATAAAACATGTCTAAAGTGCCCTCTACAGTGGTGAGGACGCACTATATGTGCCCTTTTTTTTCTTTCCGCCCCTACCCTTCAAAAAGTCTGTGCACACCACTGGTGAACACTCCTGAGTACACTGAGGCTGCTCTGATATCGATGCCACACTCTTTCAGGTCTGATTCATAGAAGATCAGGTTTCCTTTCTGCAGCTGCTCAAAAGCCAGTTTTCCCAGAGACTCAATCATCTTCCTGCTCTTTTTATTCCAGTGTGGATATGTCTCAGCTCTTCCGTCATACTTGACATTCTTCAGTTTGGACTGAACCACCAGGAATTGGATGTACATCTCAGTCAGGGTCTTGGGCAGCTCTCCTCTCTTTCCTTTCTTCAACACATCCTCCAGAACTGTAGCAGAGATCCAGCAGAAGACTGGGATGTGGCACATGATGTGGACGCTTCGTGAGGTCTTGATGTGGGAGATGACTCTGCTGGCCTGCTTCTCATGTCTGAACCTCTTCTTGAAGTACTCCTCCTTCTGTGGGTCAGTGAACCCTCTGACCTCTGTCACCATGTAAACACACTCAGGAGGGATCTGATTGGCTGCTGCAGGTCGTGTGGTTATCCAGTGGTGAGCACAGGGAAGCAGTTTCCCCCTGATGAGATTTGTCAGCAGCACATCCACTGAGGTGGACTGTGTAACATCAGTCAGGATCTCAGTGTTGTGGAAGTCCAGAGGAAGTCGACACTCATCCAGACCGTCAAAGATGAACACAACCTGGAACTCTTCAAACCTGCAGATTCCTGCTTCTTTGGTTTCAGTAAAGAAGTGATGAACAAGTTCCACCAAGCTGTACTTTTTCTCTTTCAGCACATTCAGCTCTCTGAAAGTGAATGGAAATGTGAACTGTATGTCCTGGTTGGCTTTGTCTTCAGCCCAGTCCAGATTGAACTTCTGTGTTAAGACTGTTTTCCCAATGCCAGGCACTCCCTTTGCCATCACTGTTCTGATTGGTTCATCTCTTCCAGGTGAGGGTTTAAAGATGTCTTCTTGTCTGATTGTTGTTTCTGGTCTGTCTGGTTTCCTGGATGCTGTTTCAATCTGTCTGACCTCATGTTCATCGTTGACCTCTGCAGTCCCTCCCTCTGTGATGTAGAGCTCTGTGTAGATCTGGTTCAGAAGGGTTGGATTTCCTGCTTTAGCAATCCCCTCAAACACACACCGGAACTTCTTCTTCAGGTTGGATTTAAGTTCACGCTGACAAACTCCAGAATGACTTCCTGAGCAAACACAAATAAGGACCATTCATGAGTCAAATAAATATTTAAGTTGAATGAGTATGTGAATATATTTTGGTCCATCTGTTGAGACATCAGTAAATGTCTAATTTAACCAGCGTGTTAAATACTTCAGAGAAATCCTCTTACTGCTCTGCAAACGGTCAGCCAGCTCCTCCTGCTTCATTCTCCTCAGGAAGTGCAGTGTGATCTTCAGAAATGCCTCTCTGCTTCTCATCCTCTGCTCTTCATCCTCACCGTCCAACACTTCCTCATCCTCCCTCTGACTCTCTAAGCATTCTGGGTAATCTGAACTCAGAACCTTCTGGATCTTCTGCAGCTCGTTCTTCACGACAGTGACAATGTTGTCCTCCAGCAGCTGGAACAGAATATGAATGAATGACTCAATCAAAGTCAAATCATGGAATCAAACATCAGATCCATGTTGGACAGACTGACAATCCGCTGGTCTAAAAAGTGCAGCATGGAGATTATTGTGAACACAATAGATGTAAAAGTAGTTGTTGTCCATGTACAGACCATAAATATGGAGTCCAGGTGTGTTTGATACTGCTGGGCAGACCACTGGGAACCTCTGAGCTCTCCTGGTCCACTCTGTGGAGGAATCATGAAGAATGAGCTCACATTATGTCTGTCCACACAGAGACAAACACAAGGTAAAGGTCCATGAAGTGATATTTGGATGTGAACAGTGAATCTGATGACTCCCTGTAGTGGTAAAGGTTTACTAGTCCTGCAGATCCCACTGAGAATCAACAGCTCAGTTCGGTTCAGTTGCAACAGTTCTCACCAACCCCTCTATATAGCTCTCCCTCCCTCACTGTACACTGCTGAAGTGCCCTGGAGCAAGGCACCTAGAGCCTCCAGCTGCTCCAGTGGAGCTGCTCAGTGTCTGCTTGTATTAGACTGGTTGTACTGGAAAAAGAGTGTTGGTGCACAGAGAACTTAATCTGAGTCAGTAAAGGTTTAAAAACTGGAGATCTCACAACTGAGAGTCTGATAAAAACACATTATATTGTTTCAATCATCAAGTCTATAGGGCGATCCATAGAGTAGGCTCTCTCCATGGACACACAGCTGGGTTCAGGTTTTTTCCTCCTGATCGAAAATCAGGATCAGTTCTGCACTGGTTTTCTGGTAATATGAGGGATTACTACCGCTGGAAAGCTGAATGGGAGGACTTGCAACGTCTGGGAAACCCTCATGGATTGGAAAATGTGAGGAAATTCTATCTCTTAGCCTAGATGAGAAAGCCTAGATGAGAAAGTCAAGAGGGACCTCGTATTGTCCAGCTGTGGATCCGCCAACGACGTGTTCAGGCTCCTGGACAACAAGTACGGAAATAAGCCGAAAATAGTGCTGCTGATTGTGCAAGAAGTGCAAGGACTTTCCCCCATCAAGGGAAACCATCCGAGGAAGACAATCAAACTGATTCAAGCCATGGAGAGAGCTCTTTGTGACCTACAAGTCCTAGGGGAGGAAGATGCTGTAAAGAACCGAGTGGTACTTTTTTTGGCGCTTTGAGCAACTCCAGCTGAGCCCCAGCTGGTTCCATTATATTCGAGAGAAGACAGACATCCCTACGGCTGATATCTCCAAAACTTGGCTACTCAAACCAAAACAATCTGGATGGATAAATAGCGCTATAACTAAGAGGAAGATTCTTTTGATATTAACTGTCCATTTCAGTTACGAGGGCACAAAATTAGCAACAGCTACCGGACAAATGCTGGTAAAATAAGTGGCTGGTAGATTTGCTTCACTCACCAGCCAAAAAAACAATGGTAATCTACTGATTATAGATCAAATTTAAACATTCACTAACCATTTGGCCAGTGGACAAAAAAGTTGCGAGTGACCCTGCAAACTTTGGATGGATGTTCTCTATAGTGGGTGGTAAATTTAAATAGCAATAACTCAGTGGTTCCAGAGAGGGTTGAGGCATCCTCCTGAAATCAAGGCCACATCAGTCAATTGAATGCAGTTTGAGCTGAATTCAGATGGTGTTTTAAAATGTCTAAACTGTTCGTCTTTTATTTAAAAAAATTTGAAGATTACCTTGACAGAGTTATGAAGTTTTTACATGAAAATAAAAAGATTTATGCTGATGGGCTGTAGCCTTGTACCTGTTTCTCAAATGGATCATCATGGCAGAAACTATGTATTTCTCCTACTGAAAGGCATCTTCTCTGCATTTCCCAACAGCCAGACAACAATACCCTTGTTTGTTCAGTTTTTTAATGCAATACTGTATATCTAATTAAGGGTTGGTTTTTGTTGAGGCTTTTGTTCCTTTGTAGGTTTACCCAGAAAGCTTCAGAGCAGCCAACAAAAGCTGCCCTACATACATAGTGCTGACTGAATGGGAAGGCCATAAATTGTGTTGAAAATCACTGGTATGCATGTTAAGTGGGATTCCCTCAAGCGTAATGAGAAAAGGAGGATGGAAATCTCTCATGTCTCTGAGATTCCTGCACACTGTCAACATCACATGATGACTTCCGCAGCATGGTGAAAATATATTTTATAACAGTTAAATATATGTAAATAGTGGCACCAGAAAACCCCAGAGGGGAATTAAAACAATCATTTTGCGCATGGAAATGATATGACCACAATTAAAGAGAAAATGACAGATTAAATTTGGTGGTGAACTATAAAGATGGGAATCATTTGCCTGTGACAGTTATATGATTGGGAAACTGTTTGCTTCACATAACAAAGATCCACTGACCCGTTAAATGAGGGGCAGAGGGGTGTGGGGCTTGGAGAGGGATGTGGGGATGAAGTAGGCAATTATGTTTAAGAACTCACTGCACAGCACAAAGAGTTTATAACTAATGGGGAATAGATTGAAGAAGGGGTGGGGTCCTAATAGATACAATAACCAGGACAGATAAGAGTTTTTTTTTCTGCCACAGGATATTCCTCTCTGTCTTTTTCTGGACTAAATCCACAGCAGCCAGTCAGACAGAAACTTTGAGTTTAATTGATGAAAAATGCCGGAGGAGGAAGAACGAGAGAAATTAGCCAAAGTCATCAGACAGTGGAACGACAACAGACTGGACTTGTTTGAAATAAGCCAACCTGATGAGGTGAGTCGCCTGCAGACAGGTTGCATAAAGAGAATAAATTATCGGTTTGGTTTAACCTTTATTTTCTAGATATACTTTAAAGTGTCTATGTTGAATTGACAGCTGCGTGCAGGCTGCCAAGAGACCAAATAAACAAACTTGCATTCCTGTTTTGAATTAAGATTTAAAGCTCAATAATTTTTTTAATAAATAAATACATAAGCTATCAAGTGTGCGAGATTTAATAAGATTATAATTTATATTACCTGCTATCTTTTAAGAATCTGACAGCACTTGCATGGGGAGAGCTTTTTAAATTCCTAAATCGAAAGCAGCATTTTATAAAAAAAGGAAGATTATCCATTTCATTCTCAACGCCTATTCAACAACATGGCTTCTTCTCTGCAACTGTTTCCTGGCAGAAGTCAGAGTTTCATGGTGTGATGCGCTTCTACTTTGAGGATCATGTTGGAGGAAATGTGGCCACAAAGTGCCTGCGAGTTTGCAGCAACTCTTCAACTCACGAGATTATAGAAACTCTTTCAGAGAAATTCAGGCCTGATATGAAAATGCTGACGACGGGTTACTCCCTGTACGAGATCCACGGCAATCAAGGTAATCACTCAACTCAGGTGACTCAAAGTGAAAAGCATTTTGATTCTGGCCTGGCTGCCGCTTTGCCTCTTTGGACATAATAAATTCTCATAATGTTAACAAGGACAATGTTGTTGTATTTTGTTTATAGCTGAAAACAAGAAATCAATTAATTAATTCGTTTGTCAACAGAAAATTAATCAGCAACAATTTTGCTAATCAGTTAATGGATTAGGTTATTTTTCAGCCATAAAAATCAGCTGGTTTCAGACTCACCATTATGAGAGGTCCTGATTTAGATCAGTCATGGGATTGTAAACTGAAAATCTATTTGGGTTTTAAACGAAATCAAACAATGAACTGATCAAGTATTCTGAAGATAATTGTTAGATGCATCCCTGATTTCTTACTTTACAACAGTTCAGGAAGCATAAGAGCAGTATGTAACACATACTGGTACATTTCAAACTTTGTATAACAGTTTGTGTGATTTCTTTTGTGATCACTTAGTCAAGCTGTCGTATTAAATGTTCAGTTGATTTAACAATATGCTTGTATGTGGAATAAGAACGTAAACTGGATCTGGACGAGAGACCTTTGCTGGTACAATTAAACTGGACCACAGACAACAGAGAAGGACGTTTTGTGCTGAAGAAAGACAAGGAGAGTTTGGTGGTAAGATTCAAATCATTAATCTAGTCTGCAATTTCACTCTCTCTTCATTCTCACATCTCATATCTATGTTCTGTTTTTATGCGCTGAACAATAAAGGAGAACTGTCACGAGAAGGAAAAAGGAGGCGTGATCCAATCCTTCAAGAGGACACTGTCGAGAAAAGAAAAGAAGAAAGAGAAGAACAAAACTAAAGCGACTGACAAGGTTTCAGAGGAGGAGAATGGGTAAAATGTTTCATTGTTTACTAGGAATTTTTATTTTCCAGACAACTGGCTTCAGGCTTATCTAACCCGTAGAATAACATTCACCCCTTTAAACAAATATCCAGGTCAACTGAAAAGCCACTGAACAACAACAGCATTTGTGTGTCTAACCACGAGACAAAAAAGCAGCAGAGGCAGGCTGCCCCGGGTAAGTAATCTGCAAATTGTAGACAAATAGAAATGATAATGAACTGTGCTGCTGTCTAATGAATAAGTTTATATTATATAAACAGGATGGCTGCAAGTCCTTGTTTCTCTATTCCTCATATGATTTCTCTTTGCTGAAATACAGGAGTAAAGCCCACAGGAAGTCATCATCCTGACGTTTCTGATCAACCTGGATTACCAATTAGAATTAAATTCTGTGATAATTGTGAGTATGAAACAAACAGTGTTATTTTTGATATTTGTCATTCGTAAGCTCACTGCGTTCCCTCTCATAATGTCCTCCTGCCCCCTGCTGGTGTCTTTCACATTTTCAGCTGAGGAAGCCTTCCTATCTGCAGTCATAAATTACACCAACAGCTCCACAGTTCATTTCAAGCTCTCACCTGCATACATCCTCTATGCGGTGGGACGCTTCGCTCTGCAACGCCATTACAGACGAGGCTGTCCACCCTCAGGGCAGACACACAGTGTAACCTCCATTGCCAACAAAATGGTGGCCATGACAGGGAAGGTCACCCAGGCGAGTACAAGAAACCATTTACTTTTGTTACACTTGCACGCACTGAA